TCTCTCTCTCACTCACTCTCTCTCTGGTCCCTGTCTGTCCGTGTCTGTCCGTCTCTCCGTCTGTCTTGTTCTGTCCCTGTTGGCCTCTGTCCGTCTGGGTCAGTATTTGCCTGTCTCCCTGTGTCTGCGTCTGTCTGACTTTCCGTCCCTCGTTCTCCCTCCCTCCCTCCCTCCCTCCCTCCCTCCCGCCTGACTACTGTATGTCTTTCCCTCGCCCTCTGCCACTCTTGCTGTGTGATGTGTGCACGGGTGTCAAGCTGCATGACGCTAAACTCGAGGTATTTCAAGAAGTACTGCGCGCAGTGCCATTCGATTTATCCGGACAATCGGCTCACAAGAGCACCCTGGCTGCATTCATTCATGCCATGTACCGTAGCCGTCATGACTCAAGCAGGGTGTGACCCAGTGCTCTGTAGCATGCAGGCTGGGCAGACGCAGATTGGGCCCACCTTGTTCAACATTTATGGTGGCTTGGACGAACTAAGTACCGGGGTTACGGTTACAATCCCTTTTGCAATCTGCTCAGCCTTTTATGTTGCATGATGGCGGTTTATCAAATCCGCCACTTTGTGTATGGTTTAAAGCGAAGGCCGCGCCAGTGGACTTGAGGAAATTCAGAACAAGCAGGCTTGGTGTCGCAAGCTGCCTCTGAGCTCGTTCTTCGCAGTGCATCGCCCTGCATGCCAGGGCACAGACCGTGTCGACAACGTGCTATGGTTGGAAGCTGCGCTGATGTGTCCTCCTGAGCTTGAGGTTGATCTCCCTTCTGGTTGCAGATTTTCACGTGGGAGGAACTACATGAAGAATCCGCGCGTTATGGCGCAGGGGAGCCGTCCTCAGTCTCGCGACAGCCGTGTGACTGCAAGGTGTGAGTTTGTCTGTTTTGTGTCCTGGTCCTAGTATATTTGTGTTTAATCTGTCTACTCGCCAATAGTCAATGTGGCCATACAGACATACATGACACATAGAAACATACACTTATGCAGGCCGACATGTATGCATGTATATATGTATTTGTGTGTATACATGTGAATGTATGTATGCATGCATGCATGCATGCATGCATGCATGCATGCATGTATGTATGTATGTATGTATGTGTATGTATCTGTGTATGTATCTGTGTATGTATATGCATGTGTGTATATATATACACACATATATACATATACATACATATATATATAGGTTTGTGGTCGGAATACGGCCCCTGCGTTTTGCCAGTTTTGAGCGCAGGCATCGTTGACTCCCCAAAAAAAGAAGCCAAAAAACAATAGCGAGAATGCCAATCATACTAATACTACTAACAATACAGCTGCTGCGACTCGTGCTTGCACGAGTGATCTCATTGATACTTATACAATGGTGACCACAAGTGTTGTTATACTATTAGTACAGGTAACACACACACACACATATATATATATATGTACGTAGAACCTTTATGCTCTATTTGACGGATGCTGTTTCTTCTAATCAAGACAATTAAAAATTATAAACATTGAAAATTTTTAAAATTTTTAAATTTGTTAAATTTTTAAGATTTTCAATAAAGGAAATTTTGAAATTTTTGAATATTTAAAATTTTAGTTTTTTAAAATTTTTAAAATTTTCAATAAAGGAAATTTTGAAAATTTTAATTTTTCAAATTTTTTTAATTTTTTTTAAAAATTTTTAAAGTTTTCAATAAAGGAAATGTTGAAAATTTTAAATATTTAAAATTTTTACATTTGTTAATTTTTCAATAAAGGAAATTTTGAAAATGTTAAATATTTAAAATTTTCAAACTTGTTAAAATTTTCAATAAAGGAAATTTTGAAAATTTTAAATATTTAAAAAATTTTTAAATTTTTACAATTTTCAAAATTTTCAATAAAGGAAATTTTGAATCGTTTAAATATATAAAATTTGTAAAATATTCAATAAAGGAAATTTTGAAAATTTTCAATAATTAAATCCAGGTTCTGGAGACTGGGATGGGGATTTGGACAACGATTCAAATTTTAAAAAAATGACAATTTTCAATAAAGGAAATTTTGAAAATTTTAAATAGTTAAATCCAGGTTCTGGAGACTGGGATGGGGATTTGGACAACGATTTAAATTTTAAAAGATTTGAAAATTTTAACAAAAATTGAAAATTTTAAATATTTAAGATTTTTAAAATTTGTAAAATTTTCAAAATTTCAATAAAGGAAATTTTGAAAAGTTTAAACATTTAAAATTTTTAAAATTTTCAATAAAGGAAATTTTGAAAATTTTAAATATTTAAAAATTTTCAATTTTTTTAAATTTGTAAAATTTTTAAAATTCAAATCGTTGTCGAAATCCCGGTCGCAATCTCCAGAATTCAAAATATTTAAAATTTTTAAAATTTTCAAAATTTTCAATAAAGAAAATTCTGCAAATTTTAAATATTTAAAATTTTTAAAATTTTCAAAATTTTTAAAATTTTCAATAAAGGAAATGTTGAAAATTTTAAATATTTAAAATATTTAAAATATTTAAAATTTTTAAAATTTTCAATATCTTCAAGAAGGGAAATTTTGAAGATTTTAAATATTTAAAATTTTTAAAATTTTCAATAAAGGAAATTTTGAAAATTTTAAATATTTAAAAATTTCAATATTTTTAAAATCTAAATCGTTGTCAGATCCCGGTTCCATGCTCCAGAAGCTGGACTTAGATACTTA